CTCCCACCTAGTAGCGATGGCCTCCAACCTAGTAGCGATGGCCTCCACCTATAGTAGCTTCTTATAACTTCTTATCAAACATCTATTCCAGTCCCAAACCCCGTCCGCTCTGGGAACGACGCGCCGAAAGTGGCCTCCGGACTCGTCGGCATGTTGCCGTGCTTGCAGGGCCTCTACCAGCCTAATATGCGGTGCGAAAACGACAACAACGGACGTCAACGAGAGAAAACGAGGTATACTGTATACGACGGCGTGTTGCTTTTTGACAAGAAACATGCACATCTCGGCACCACCCAGTTCGGGTGGTTATTGGATGGACAAATACATAGTCAGGGGATGTCAGGGGGGTCTACAAACCATGCGAACTGGGTGGTAAATAGCTTGTGGAAGAGGTGCTGCCCGCTGCCCACCCACCCTCCCACCCACCTCAAAAATAACATATTTCTTATTCTTAGGTGGGTGTACCTGAGCTCAGAATTATTTAGGGAGTAGGGAGGCTTAGAAATAATAAACCAAACAGCATGTTAAGATAGGGGGGGAGGTGGTATGAACCACCCACCTAGGTCGGTAGATATATGGGGGCAGCTCCTAGGAAAGTCTTCAGTAGCAGCACAAGTAGGTGGCTCAAGCTCAAGCACCTGCAAAATAATAATCGCGTCCTGTTTTCTGCCATTCTCTCTCAGTTTCTCTGCGGTACCATGAACGTCTGACTCCCACATCAATCAGATATTACTTTGACCCACCACCTACATGCCGTTCAAAATAATACTTTAGCAATATTATTTCAACAAAACATATTTGGAGAGGAGACGGTCACCTCAAAATAATTTTGCTTGGCAGCCCCTATCTTATGGATTTCTTGCGCGTCATCTTCGGACAACAACCCAAAGGCCCTGTTTTCACGATGGCATACATGTGCTCACGGCAAATCACACAGCAGCTACTGCGGCTGGGATATCCCAACCTCTTCAGGCTACAAGTGAGGTGGTTTGGGGCGTCAATGTAGGTTACAGTAAAAACACTTCCATAGATGCCTGGTTCTTCTTCAGTGACCCCGACTGAGATCCTGGGTGGTTCGAGACCTCACGACCGAAAACGACCTGAGACCCTCAAGTTGGGTCACGAGAACTTGAGTGCTTGTAAACACTACACTCCCGAAAACTCGCATAGACCCTGACAATGGTCACCTGGAAGATTGGGTTTTCCTCTACCAACCAGTGGTTTTCAAGGTCCATGTTAGTTTTCGGGGGTGTAAGACCGGTGCTTGTTCGTTCTGTCCAGTCAGAGTCGCGTCTCTGGGATTTTTGTCCGAAACCGGTCGGATGGGGAAATGGCAAATCCCAAACACTCCACTTGAGGTGGTGGTGTCAACTGAATTGAAAAATATGAGTCATGGGCTCAATCATCTCAAGTAACGGTTGGTAACGGTTGAAAACACACATATACCACCACCCGGACCATGTATGGAATACGGACATCGACCATCCAAAGCACACCATTCATACATGGATAGTCTGGGGATGGCAAATGATGGATGGGCGCAAGCGCGACACAACATTCATAGAACTTGGGTTTCGGAGACCTGGTTGACCGCATCAAATGTGCGGCATTTATTTGGTACTAAACCCAAATATATATATATATATCTATTATGTGGGGGCCCTATCTCACTTAGACTACTTAAGTAGGAGGTCATGTCACAGTATCTCGTTCGGACTACTTTAAATAGCAAATCACACTTCGCGTTCAGACTACTTTAGTGTCAAGCAAACGTATCTCGTTTATGCGGGGGCCCTATCTCGTTGACAAGCGAATACTGATGATAGACAAGCAAATAGAGCATGCCGTAGACTACTCTAGTAAAGCCTAAAAAAATGACACAAAAACATGGGCAATATAACCCTAGGCTCCAAGTACCTTCTACAAAAAGGTGTTTGAGATGGGTTTGGAGGGTCCAAATACCTCATGAGTACTTGGAGCCCTAGGGTAACACACATGTCATGTCTTATTAAGTAAAACTGATCAAGGTACAGTAGGTCGTACACATTCACGATGCCTTTAGAATAATAGTCATTATGTTACGATATATGACGTTGTCCATACAGGTTGAGATGACCCACCTGGGCAGGTTAAATCTTAAGCAACTTGACTTATAACATGCACATCAAGTTTCGGGACTTACGGGTCTACAGCTGTTGACTTGCGCATATATTTGCACGCTTTATTACATGAGTATACCGTATACCTGTGCAAGTCTGTCTACCGCACGTCACGGGTCCGCGGTTGAAACGCGCCTCTCGAGCTTCTCGCGCTCCCTTTCCGCCGCTTGTGGGTCATTCTGGGGATCTGGCCCTGAGCGCAGAGCGCAGCTGAGCGTCCGCGGGCAAATCCAGTTCTGTTGATGTTGAAACACCCTATACAGACTGCAACAATCAAAGGAACATCAGCAATGCAACAAACATCCCTCCCAAACTCGCGCATATTCCATGCTTAACAAACAGACGTTTGTGCATAAAACAAACACAATTTGATCCCCCATCTTCTTCTCAGGTTCGCTGCGGATCCCTTTCAGGGATGTTTTCCGTATCTCTTGACGTCTTGGACTCGTATCCTGAAACCACCCCAACCCCTAGGGATCCAAGTACCTTGTCAGAAGGTACTTGGACCCTCCACAACCCCAACCAAGAGAGGTTGAACAGCCCTTTGTCGCCCATCCCATATGTACCACTCCAGGGTCCTAGTCCTGGTCTCTCAACCTCTTTTGGAATGTATCGTATGCACCTCCATGAACCCAACAGAGCCGGCGGAGAAGACCGGACCAACGATCACGGGTTCCGAGACCAGGTGGAGGACCTGCTGACCGGCTGGCATCGGCACCTGGTGAACGGTTGACCCTGGTGGGTTGCAGTGTGATTTTTCGTGTTTCTCTTCGCAGGGTCCGGTGGTGTGACCCCTCTAGTTGCCGGCACGGGTTTTCACCCCACGGAAGCACCCACGGAACCCCGTCCGATCTCACGGTCAGGTGGGTCCCGAGTGACCTGAACTAGGATCTTCTTGGGGTACCGGGTATATAAATACAGTCTATAGGGTTCTGACCCAGCTCTGCTGGTTATAGACCTATTGATACCTATTGCTTGTACAGGACCAGGGGTACTCCTCTAATCATCAACCTTCCCCAGCCGAGCCACGCACCTGCGAGCCACGCACCAGCCACGCGCTTCCACCCACGCGCTCCCGGGGCGCGATCCGGTTCCACCTCCCCAGGCCTCCTGGGTCGGGGACCCTCTGAGGCGCCCCGACGAGACCAGGTTTCTTGTAGGTCCTGGGCGGTCCGGAGACGATCTGGTCGGGATGGAGACGATCTGGTCCGATGGAAGAACGTCCCCTGTTTTTCAAGCTGATCCATGTGGACAGCCCCATGGATGCCTATGGAACTTCCATTCGTTGAAGCTGATCCATGGAACTGGTAGTTAACTGGTAGTTGGATTTCTGCCTATGACCAGCTCAGGTTGCGTGAACCACACCTTGCATCCAAATGCCATGGCGCCAAACCAACATAAGTTGGATTCCAAACATCGTCCACTCTCGCGTGCCGCGACGCGTACAAAGGAACACCTCCTGCGGACTTCGAAGCGGAGGTCCACTGGGATGTCGTCCGGTCCAAGGCCTCCCAACACCGAAAGTTCTGAAAAAGTGACCGAACCAGATCCTGATCCCCTGTTTGAGGTCACTGAGGGACTCCAAAAAGGTCATTTCAGAAGCTGGCATACAAGATATCGTTCAAACAACTATATATAATGTAAGAAGGCATGATAGCCAAACCAAGCAGCCTCACAATAACAGGTATAGAATCAATCATGAAGGCTATTGCTTCTTCTGCTTGGAATCCATCATACCAGTTAATTCGAGTGCGGTCCGCACTCGAGTGATGTCCCCGCTCGCACCGTCCACTTTTCCACTGAGACTCACGCCCTTCTGTTGACCAATCAAACGTCTCACAGGCGAGAAGCAGGAGTTCAAGGATGCAAAGGATGCTAAGAACATCAGTGTTGCTACGAAAAGGTCATATGTTGGCTATATCCCATGACCAGTAACCATGGATGATGATGGTTTGTTCAAAGGAATTTCTCACAAATAGTGATCATCTTTTAACGACTGGTGCTGAGCGTTTGGTCACTGACTCAGATTTCAGGGAGTACATATATACATACATATACTTGAGAGAGGAGGGGGTGAACGAAAGGTAGCAGGCAATCACAAGTAACCCTGGTAGAAGTCCATGACGGCGTGAACCGGCGCAGGGGGGATTTGATCCAGGGGGGGGGGGGCCGAACAGAATCAACTCTTACAGGACCAAACTCAATGCACAATCCCAACTCCTGATTGTAATACATTTTTGCTAAAGCAAGGAGAACTCAGGTAGCTCGAGCTACCTTTCGTGATATATATATATATATAATACCTACCAGCTGCCTCCCCATCTGAAACCTAAACGTATCATATTTTGGTATGACGTGGTCAAAAAAACTAAGCAGTTCCTCAAAGGGGCGTCCTGTTGGCGTTCTTCGTGGCCCTTTGCAGTGCCGAAGCACTTTGCATCCCATGCGGAAGCGCATCGATGGCGCTAATCCATGCACTATCGACAGGTGTGTGAGCGAATTCAAAGCTATTTGCCACAGGCATTTCTGTTGGCCATCGCCGATCGATGGCGGCCATAGGCATTGTCATTACAGTTCAGAGGCGAAGAAGTGTGCCATTGTGTGCATGGTGGTTGCAAGGAGTCCCTAGTTTCATACGGTTTCCCACTTAGGAAGTAAGCAGGTGGGATATGAATCGCTGGAAGCTCTGGCACAAGGACTTGTTTCAAAACGCTGGGAAGGGTGACCCTGGGAAAAAAAATGGGCTTGGAGTATCAACACTACTGTCGTGTCATGGGTACTTGGGTGGCTATGCACACACAAACACACCAACTTCGCTCCTGACTCCCTCAACAATCATGGAAGCCCAAACAATCCATGGGACTGGAATCGTGACCTGCATTAGACCGCATTGTTGTCTTTTTCTTCAATTGAGGGCTTCCAGTCTTTGGAGGGTGAGCCCGACTCGGCTCGCTTGGAAGCGGTCGCCGACTCACTGCAGAATCGGTCCAGGCGTCCACTGGAAGGGAAAGCCGAAGAAACTCGGCAGCCCTGGGCGGAAGGCACGGAGGGGACGAGGGAATGAACTCGCAGGGGATTGAACTGGCCCAGTGGGATGGTACACCAGACCGGGAACCGCTTTTGGATGATAAACGAAAGACCGGTCAAAGACTAGGTTTTGACAGGAGTGGAGTCCAAGTAGCTTCTCGGAAGGTATGTGGATTCCTAGTACCAAAAACACTACTCAAGGAGTCCCAAGAAGGTCGAAAACCAGGCCAGGTTTTTATTGGGTCTTTGGACTTGTAGGGATAGACGTCTGCAGTTCATGGCCATCCATTTCATCAGTCTGTCAGATTGTCGAACAACATTTACCAACCAACCATTTGGCCAGGACCCTTCTGGCGAAGTATGTATAGCAACAACCTCCAACAAATTGCAATGTCTTCATGTCTCCATAGAACCTCGAAAGGAGGAGGGTCCGGGTCACAGGGAAGATTCCCTCCAAACTGTTTTTGGTCCCTCAAAACCTAGTGATTTGAGATCCGGACACCTCCAAACAGGTTTTGGGTCCGGCTCCAGGTCCATGAACCTCTGTGCATTCCTGCCAAAGCAACGATGTTTTAAGGTTGGGGACCAACCATGAGGGTCTACGCTTTTGTTGACATTCTCTAAGAGCCTAGCACCTGGTCATGAAGATATCGTACTTCACAGCTTGCAAACAATGAAACGCCAAGGGTTGGGAAGCAAATGCGCCGTCGGCTCAAAATCCTGGATTCCTCGTAAAACCATGTGGCAGCTTCTTTCCGGAAATGTGGTTTCTAATGACAACCTTTGATTCATCATATACGTCAAGATAGATAGGGCTAAGCAACTCCCAAAACTGACTGACTATATAATTATATATACATAATAAACTACACCTAGTGATAAATAGGCGAAACATGTTCACCTACACTTCGGGATGTTTTATTTTATTGTCCAACAGCCCCCTTCTCGATCCAAGAAATGATTCCTCTTCAGTGCTTAATCCCCTTTCATCTCCATTCCAGAAAATATTCCTCCTCAATACTTATCCTATTTCATCTCCATTCCAAATAATCCTGTCCTCCCCATACTCGTCTACTTTAGAAACAGTTTTTAGTTTGACTTGGGTACGGGGGTGGGGGTATCCTGGTATCCTCTGTTTAGTGTCACGTATATCATATATATATATATATATCTGTGTGTAACCTGTGCACAACCCTTCCTGTGCACAACCCTTCCTGGGAACGACAGGCACAACAACAACAACAACAACAACAACAACTCCAACTCCAACTTCAACCCCCCTAGTTACCTAGTCCGGCCACACAGTTCCGGTGCCCATCCCTTTTCCACACCATGGCCCTGCTCCTCACCGTGCATCTTGCACTCGATGCGACACGAGTCGTCGCTCGCAGTAGATGTGCGTTCCGCGCATTGTCCGTGGTCGCGGTGGCCTCCGTACTCGTAGGAGGCCGCCTCGTAGGAGGCCGCCTCGTAGGAGGCCGCCGCTTCGGCTTCGGCTTCGGCCGCGCGGATCATGTTGTTGGCGGCGACGGCGTCCTCATAGGACCAGGTCTCCAGCGCCCAGTTTTCCTTGGAGCGAGTGCGGTCGAAACGTCGGGAGAACGGTCGAACGGATGGGCAGAAAGAAGGGGAGGGCCAGGCGTATCCAGAGGCTGAAAGGGGCCTAGGGCGACGATTCATGGTGGAAAGAAGAGAAAATTTTCACGTCGGAAGACATATATAGAATTTTATACAATTACTATCTATCTATCTCTATCTATCTCTATCTAACTATCTCTCTATATTTATCTATCTATCTATGTATCTATCTATGTATCTCTGTATGTATCTATCTATCTATCTATTTGTCTATCTATCTATCTATCTATCTATTTGTCTATCTATCTATCTATCTATCTATGTATCCCAGTGAGCCCTCTCTGAGCATGCGTTGTGCTCTACGATTGAGATCCTGTTACCCTTCAAGCTCTACTGTGTTGCCAAAGTGGTTTTTGGCACGGTAGGTTTCTTTTCTTACTGCCCTCGGCTGTGAAGATTTCTCTATAGCCATGGCAAGCCATAGCGCACCACAGCACCTGTAGAGTCAGCCAAGAAGAAGACCTTCTTGAGCCCCTGCCTTTGCGAGATCCCTCGTGAGCGCCCGGAACAGAAAAAAGCTGAAAAAAACTATCTATGTATCTATATGTATATATCTAATTATCTACATATCTATCTATCTGTCTATCTATCTATCTATCTATATATCTATCCTGATTATCTATCCATCCTAATTATCTATATATATATATATCTGTATATATATATGTATTAATCTATCTCTATACATATCTATCAATTTATCTATGCATCTATGTATCTATCTATCTATATTTATTATCTATCTATCTTCTTTTTGTTATTTAGTTATTTCTTTATGTATCTGTTTACTTCCTTCTTTCTTTATTTCTTATCTAGCTATCCTACTTATCTATCTATCCTATTTATCTACCTATCTTATCTATCTATCTATCTTATATATATTGATTATATATTGTATTTATAATATATGTCTGGGCCTGAGCAGCGAGTAAAACATCCAGTAGTAACTAGTATCCAAACCTGGCCTCTGAAGGGACAAAGGTTTGTTAAGAAGTTAGCAAGTTCCTCTTTCCTCAGTCGAGACAAACATGCACAGCCAGTGAACAAGTTAAAATAATGGGGACAACCTGGGGGTACCTGTGTGCCCTCGTAATTTAGGGCCCAACCAAATAAAACCATGATAAAACCATAATGAACCTATGACAACTTGTTTCGGTTCGCCTGGCCAGCCCACTGTTGATTCTCACACTCCAAAAGTACATCCAAATATACTTGAGATTAGGGGGGTGAGATGGCCGGTAGCTAGGATGTACTGCACGAGGGGTCAGTCTGTACCGCAGTGACAGGATTCTCTGGGCACCTGGTGAGATGCCAAGGTTATGCATGAGGACGACGAAGGATTGCATCCAGAATGGGGCACCCCCAATGAACCGGGTGGATCTGCAGGCGCAACTCCATTGGAATAGGTTGAAATTACTTTAAAGTTCTGATTCTGATTCTTTAAAGCAAGAACTTACTTATACATATACAAGATTATACAATAATCATGGACCTGTTCAAAGGCCTATACAAAACTTCGCACATCAAGCCAGCGTGATTTCTTTTTGTTAGGTGCTCCAGTATACTCCCTCTCTTTTGGGGTTTTGTCTCTCCCTCTCTTATGCACCGACCGCATTCATCTCGCACATCCCGCGATTCAGAATCCGCTGACGAATCAGCAGCTCGGCCCAAGGGGCTCCGAAGGTCTCGGCGTTGTTCGAGTCGGCGCCACCTTCATAGTCCTCGCGAGGTCGCGGAGAGCGTGACGCTGGGCGCCTGAACGGAGGCCTATCGGCTGGGCGACGGCCAGCTGAGCTTAAAACCGGTGCATCTTGTGAGAGAATATCAGCGGCGCACGGGAAACGGGAAAGGGAAGGCACTACAGATTTGATACGAGAAAACCAATTGGAAATCCTTCTACAAAGGAAATCCTTCTAGTAGGAGAGGGAAATAGAAAAGGAACTACTAATAAAAGAATATAAAGGAGACATATCCAAACCAGTTGACCAGACCGTGCAAATCAAGTTGGTTAGTATTACACAAGAGCCTTCTCCAGGAGTGTCCTTTCTAAGCTCGCATTCTTGTGCACGACGTCAAAACAAGTCAAAACCCATAGGGATCTAAGTACCTTCTCAGGTACCGTGATGTGTTCGGCACTGTTATGTAGGTGCCAAGTCACGTCGGGTCTGTTTTCGTACCGAACCTAACGGATCCATCCATTTGCCCAGTAAACCACCACTCACCCGTTCCTCCAGACCCACCCGTTCCTCCACCCCTGCACAACCCCCAACAAAGAGCGGTCCAAGCGTGCTTCAAGCATTTGGACGCGCTGTTCATCATTGGCATGCGCCAGGGCACCTTCGGAGGGTCCAGTCGTCCAGAAGGCAACGGGGTGGTCACCACTGTGAAACAAAAGGGTTTAGTGATGGAAGGTAACTCATGGATGGTCTGTTCATTGGTTCAAAATATGTTGAGCGGTGCTTTTTCATCCCAACAGCTGTTCACCACTACCGAATTGATGTTGGAAGCCTTTGATCCAGATCGATCGACCGTGAAGCCTTGTTTGGACCATTGGGCAGTCTGCTGGATCCTTCATTTTTTGGTCCAACATGGCCTAACAAATCAGCCAGCCTGCATCCACTGCATGGTTTTCTAGTTCAAATGAATGTGGTCACTGACCGTGCGTCCGTTCCGTGCCTGGTCCGTGCTCCGTCAACCAAACGTGGCCCGTTTCCCTTGGTACTTTTTCGTTGAGGTATATTGCTACTCGTTTTTTTTTTCCCGGGCAACTAAATGCCAATGCCATGGTTGATTGAACAGTTTGGTTGAACAGATCAGCAGAGCGAAACTGGGGGAAACTGGAAGTCTCTAGAACACTCAAAAGCGATCACATCAAGTTAAGGGAAGAGTATGTAAACAGCACATCTCTCTTCTATATCTGGATAAATCTGGATCTTCATACTTCTGCCTTTTGTCTAGTTTTATGGACTAGAACTTCTTCATAGTTGAAGATCCAGGTACTGAAATATTTCTTAGACTTGGAGAGATGAGGCTGACGGACGTAGAGAAATAAGAAACCAATCCTCTTGGAACTTCACATGATGCTGAAAACAGCCCAATCAGATTGCTGATTAAACATGACACGAGCATTCTGGGTCTCATATTCCTTCATGCAGGGGGTTTCGGTTTCACCAAACAAAAAGAATATATCCAACTTCTGCTTCTTTCGCTCTACAAGCAAAGGAGAAAAGGCTCTGTTATCGCGTGATATCGCGACTATGCGGTGTCAGTCGCGTTCGGTGCTCGGTCACTGAGCCCCGAGCGTTGATCTTCTTCCTCCCAGTAAAAGTCGGGCAAATAAATCGTAAATGGAAAGACAATCTCCTGAGCGGTCGCAAGGCATAACCGAACATGAATCAAGGCTCTGGAAAGACCATCTCACCGGTTCGACGTTCGCGGAACACGGATTGCTTGACCGTTTCACTCAACGTTGTTTTGCGCAGGTGAAAAGGGAAGGAAAGCAGAAACCTGAGACCTGGTGGGAATTGGGACATGGGCAGGACTTACTCTGATGGGCACAGGAAAAAGTAACCAAGTATGTAAACGTCCATTCTTCCGTATAGATTCCCCTAGTAGAAGGTGCTGTTCAGGGACAGCAAAGCATCCTCTCCTGTGCTGAAACAGAGGGATTGATTGGATGACTGAATCCAATAAGAGTGCAATGGTCTTGAAACATATTATAGCATATTGCCAGACCCTGGGACCAGGACCTTGGACATAGACTTGACACGAAGCGAGCGAGCATGGCCAACATCACAGAAGATCACTCGATCAAACCAAGACAGTCCCTCTATCATTCACAGTCCTGTCCGTGGGTCTTTTTCTTGGTCGCACCCTTTGCCGCATGAGCAGCTCGGCGAACAACATTTGGGAAACAAAGGTCTGCGGGAGTGATCCCAAAGGTCAGCGGGAGTGATCCTTGAAGCATTTCAGATTGCTGGTGCGAAAAGCAAGGAGATTGCTGGCCTGGACCAATCACCCTTGTTCCGAACACTTGTCTTGGGCTCCTGTCGAACCAGCATCTGACTGGTGGAACCCAAATGTGTGAAAGGGGCCTGGGGTGGTTTTGGTGTGAGAGGTTCAGCAAGGCTGTTTTTCATGGATCAGCCCTACCAGTCGGACCAAGTAAAACCTGGTCCTTAACCAGAGTACTGTTTGTTGCATCACCAAACCCAGTTCAAACAAACCTGTCAGGAGATCCAATGATTGTGATTCTCACCTTGCTCGCTCGCGGGTAGTTTTGAGTGAATGGTTTTCACACAGAAGACGAAAACTATGTTGTTGCAGACACTCCGCGCCATAAGGTCGTCAATGTGAAGAAGTTTCCCCTCAGAAGGGCGTGCCCTCCCAATGTAGACTCTTGATTCATAGACCCCCCATATGATGTTCGCTGGATAATAAAACTGGTCGGGAACCAGGTTGAACGACTCATCCCTATGTCAGGTATGAAGATCGCCCAATCAAGCGGATTTAATTGAAACACACCAAAAGCGATGGCTGATTACTAATTACCCTATGTGTTGTAGCAAGCGCCTTTCCTCCAACTTGATTGGAACGACCCATTCCCTGGTGACGTTCTGTCCTGCCGTCACTTCCTACTCCGGACTGCCCCATGCTTGTCCCTCAATCCGGGTCTCTCGTGGCAGGCCATCCGGACGGAGGGGCCACTTCTGCCTGGCGGAGGAGGATGGTTCGGTTGACCTCGGGCCCGAGTGGATGAGGATGGTTAGGTTGCAGGCCGACACCTCAAAAAAGTGTGATCATCTTTAAAAAGACGTGCTTTTCTTGGTAGTGTGACACACCCATTCACTATACCATACTCAGACTCAGACTGAGCGCTTTCTAGATTCAAAAGAACTGGCGAAAAACAACATCGAGTACCACTTGCTTGCCCAAACACGCCCTGAGACCTGTCTGGCACTGGAAAATTGACCAAATACACAACCATGATGTATATTATATATATTATATAATTATATATGAACATATGGCATATGTGCAGCGTTTGAGATAGGGCCTGGTCAAACCTAACTTCATGGATTTGTTAGTCTCTATAAGACTCTTTCAGAACAGCTACAGGTTTGGCCATGTTCATGTACCTTACTGTACTGCCTACACTCCCGCTCTGCTCCTTCCTACAGTTTTGCCTCGACCAGGTGGCACTTCGCAAGGAACTATGCGTCTGACAGGATTTTGTCAACAACAAGAACACATTAAAAAGAACATACACATACCTGGTCCTGGAGTCTCAAAGTACTTGGGAAAATGGGTACAAGTCAAATTTTCTTATGTACATGAATCAAGGAGGGTCCAGGAACATACACAAACGATCCCCCTATGGAATGACCTGTGAATGTGAGGTAGTATCCAACGCGTTACCTTTCTCTGTGCATGACAAACACGCATCAAATCTACGTCCGGCTTCCTGCGGATGACGGCCGCGGGGTTGCGCCTCTTCTCCACTTGGCCCCTCTTGTGCATCCACCCACGCATCGCGAGGATGGTGTCCTTGTGATAGACCTTGAAGCAATCGGGTAGAAAATACCATGATAAGAACACTGTGTTATTATTGAAAAAAACAAAAACAAACAAAATTAACTATGTATATATATACAACATGTATGGTCGCATCACTGTTGGCGAAACATTAAGAACACCATCGGCCATCGGGGGACCTTGGACGGGGGAATCATGTAAACCTTGCGTGTGTGTGTGTGAAGGGGGAATCCCCACATCCTGAAACATACCCCAACAAAAAGGATGAACGCAGCGTTCAGGACTGGTGTACCTTGGGAATTGCTTGAAGACCTCATTGTTGACCTTTTCTGAAATTCAAGCTCGTGCCAGATCCAGCACAATAAGATCTTTCACCTGAGATGCCCTAGTGGTTGGTCAAATTCAGAAGTGCAGTTGTTGAGTTCCAAGCACCCATGTCTGGGCCCAGCAGGCGGTCCTGTTGCCAGGACATCCACGTCACCCGTGTCATGCCAGAAACGCTCCCACTCAAGTTGACCTATGCCCAGTTTATCCAACAGTCACCCTCCTCTCCAACAGGGCCACTTCCTGCAGTAACCAGGACCAGGAGCAGTTTGCCCACTTCATCTCGGAGTTCCCGACAATTCTCTGGAGTTGGGCAACACACCTGACTGATCCAGTCAAAATGTGAGCGAACACCCTATCCTCCATCAATTACCCCTCCCATGTCACAACCATCGGAGGATCGCTGAGGGCCCCCAACCCGCCCAGTGCGTGTCGGCCGCGGGCGCGGGGCAGAAAGCTCAACCACCGGATGGCCTTGGACAGCCCGGCGTGGCTACAGTACGCCCCGGGGCCCCCAGGTGGGCTCCAGTCGTAGCTCCTCAGGTTCGGTATGGGATCCTACTGGCACCAAGCCCAGTCCCACCTTCTCACAGGGTACGACTTGGAGGTCCTAGGGATTCTAGAGGGTCTCAGACTCCGGACTTGGCGACTGATCCATTGGGGGTGGAAACAGGCTCAAAGTGGGCGAGTCGAGGAGTGCCAGGAGTTGAAGTGGCTGGTTGGGTCATGGAAATTGCTTCTCCTGCGTCGATTTGGGCTGCGATGCGTGGGTGACTTCCATGGGGGCTGAAACAAAGGGCCAAGTGGAGGGTAGGTGTGCTCATGATCGACTCCATAGTGACCACCCCAACATGCAACCCCCAGATCAAACGAAAGAAGAGGACTGACTGCGGTGTGCTCAATTCCGTCGCAGCGATGCAAGTAGAACTGCCTTCTAAAGCAACCCTTAGGGATCCAAAGACCTTCTTGGAAAGTTCGACTGGACCCTCAAAGCCTACATAAAAGTGTCTCCAATCACCTTCTCGGAGGGTATGTGGATCATCCATAGGAACTGTCAATTCAACTAACTGCCTGGAATACCAACCCCTTTTGACCACCAAACTTAATTACAAGCCTACATTCTATGTGATGCTCCATCGCACCCCCCAAAAAAAATAAACAAACACACACACACACAAAAACATGTTACCTCAGAAGTCTAGATTGACTAAGTTTGACACCACTGTAGTTTGCAGGACATTCCTTCGACGCGGGGTTCACCTTGATCATCTTCACATCGTCTTAGACTTCCAGAGTTTTAGGGTTCCAGCAAAGGTTGATTCGAACCCTAGTTCGACTATCCCAGTTGGGTACCCCAGGTAGCTCGGGTCCTATTTTACTTTCACCCAGAAAAGAAACTCTGTTGGTTCTTCAGCCCGAAAACGCCCCACACCCCTTTCCGCCGCCCGCCCCGTTTCCGCCGGGGCGGCTGGGCACCAGCGACACCAAGCGGGCGCGACCGCCAGGGCCACGGGAGTCCTTGGCCGCCTGGCGGGGCCGGGCCGCTTCCAAGACCGGCAACACGGTAGGCCGGTTTGGGGTGTGGGGTGTTGGGGGGGGGTCTGGAGGCTTTGGTTTGGAAGTGTTCATGTACCTCCCTAGATCAAATGGTTAGTAGAATCTAGATCTATCTGTTGGATGCTTGCCATCTTTTTCCCAAACTGGGCCGGCTAAAGTAGAAACTCCAATGGCCAAAAGTAGAAGGCCCGAGGAGTCCAAAAAGGCCCTACCTTCTCACCATACCTGCTCAGGTTCGGTACGACTGGACCCGACGAACCTACAGAAGAACGGATTTTCAGTGTGTGTCGAACACATCACCTTCATCAAAAGGGTGGCCGATGACCCATAGGGGGGGGCCGTTAACTGGAATTCTGGAACACCCCCCCTCAAGGGCTTGGGCTCCTGTCTGGCCGGAGGTGCGCGAAACCCTCTCACGGCTGTGTGTTGGAGGTACGAAGGGAGCGAGAATGAAACCACCAGAAGGATCGGTGTTTCAGAAGGATCGGTGTTTGAAACACAAAGATGCTCTAGACTCTAGCCTTGTCAAGGCCATTAAAAAAAGAACTGGTTGACCTGAGTGACCTGCTTTTGTTGTATAAAAATCCCGAGTATATAAAAGACTTGTTTTGTAGAAAACACATTGTAGTATAGATTAACAATCAAGGGTGGATTGATCAGTCTATACCTGGAAATTCCTCAGAGTGCTTGTGAATGTTTATGTGGTTCACAAACCTAAATAAAGGTATGTTGAACTACTAAATCTAAGCAACCACGAGGTTGCAGGCATATGCGGCATATATGTTATGAAACATTATGAACATATCTTCTGGATCCAACCTCACATGACAAACCCTGGAAGACCTCATCCCCTAGTGACTTGGTCCATCGATCGGTCAGACCGATCGAACTGGAACCACTGTTTACCCTAGCCTAAACACTCCATGGGACTGGAATAATGCCCAAACACTACACTTTCATGGGACTGGAAACGACTGGAAGTCGACTGTGCTTCTCCCCCAAACCAACCAAACGGTTTGGCAAATTATATGGCATACCTAGTGCGTCTGGGATATATGATATGTGCCTCCATTCACCCCTGAAATAAACCACCCTAGTTGAGATGCGCTAGAGTGGCAACTGGATGTTCTTAGGACAGGGCTAGCCGGATCCCAACACCGTTGAAGCTACAACGACGCACACACCGTTGACGGCACGGGGAAAAGGGTCATCCCGGGCGACAGTGACAACCCAATATACACAAATCCAGACTGACCCAGGTCCAAACCTGGACTTGACCTCCTTATTCGCAGTGTTTTTGTATGGCCTGAATATGCATTTCATGGTTTATATTAAAACTACAAATATGGTTGATAACGGTTACATGGATTAAATCTAACCATTGATGAATAATGATTCAGATTTAATGTTGATGGAGCATATGGCATTATTGGCCAACTCCAGTCATATGAGGTCAAACTGACTTGTAGTTGATCAACGACAATCGCGGCTCAGAAAAATAAAACGGAGACGTCAAATGGATGGTCCAAGTACAGTGGTTTTAGAGTAGATGGTGCAAATGTTTCTTGCCATCTACTCTGAAACCGTTGTAGATGTTTTTGTTTGCTCTGCAGGAAGGAAGTTCTTGAAGTGGAACCACACAACAAATCCATGACAGGTCTTACAGTCTATGACAGTCTATGAATGTAGGAAATGAAGGAATCGTTTGAAACCAGAGAGTTGCTTATCGATGTCCTTTTGGGAAGAATATTGGCATCGGTTTGGTACCATCATGTACCATATATACCTTTTGGGTATCGCCTCACTCTATTAATCAACAAATTCAGCCAACAAAGGGCGTCACAAACTAAACGAAGGCATCGATACTTCACCCTGGTGGATAGAGTCGATCGATCCTTCAATTTTGGGGCTAAGTGGTCAACTCTCGATTCCAGCGATTCAGCGGGGAGTTATCCACTTGGATGGGAAGGGAGTTCAATTGGTGAAACAATCGCAGTCATCTGCCACTATGATGACAACGAGGAGTTGAAAGAAACACCCTTCTCCACAGACAGGATCCAAAAGGTTTCTAGTGGTTCCACACCTTTCTCCACAAAAAGGATCCAAAAGGTTTCTGGTGGCTCCAGTAGGAACCAATCATCATGTCTGGGTTTGGATCAATGGATCATGAAACATAACATAACTATGGGAAAAACATCCCTCCAAAACCATTAGCAAAAAATACATACACAAACTCAACAACAAAACCAGGCGGAGAAAGACGGCCCAACGAATGCGGCCTCCCAACGAAAGCGCACACGCACACCCACCGCAAGGTCTGAGGAAGTCAGACCACCATCCTCAGATCAATCGTGGAAAAGAACACAGGAGATCGGGGCAGATCAAAAGTTTGAAAGGATCCCCGAAACGATGTGAATGGGAAATCATACTGAATGAGAATGAGTGAACTATTAGAAACTAATCAAAGTGGGGTGATGGGTCTCCGGGTCAGAACCTGCAGCCCTGGTCCACCACGTAGATCTGGCATGTGGGATGACCTGTGACTGCACATCGTGTTCTTGATGTTTTCAGTGGTATGTCATTGTAGGTCGATGGGTCACTGCTCAACTGGTTGGATCGAGCGCTCATGCTTCTGTCGCATCGTGCCTTTGAAAGTGCTGCTGCTTACGAAGGTCTAGCTCTTGTCTCTCGCTATTTGTACTGCACTGCCTTCTTTCTTAATCCATATCAGCACAGCAAACTCCAGATCGCAGTGACCACTACCACACCTTAACAGCAAGCGCCAGATCGCAGTGGACGCTACGGGACCTCAACAGCAAGCGCCAGATCCCAATGGGCACGACCGGAGCTCAACCGCAAGCTCCAGATCGCAGTGGGCACTGCCGGGCCTTAACCACAAGCTCCAGATCGCAGTGGGCACTGCCGGGCCTTAACCACAAGCTCCAGATCGCAGTGGGCACTTCCGGGCCTCATCTACAAGCTCCAGAACGCAATGGGCACTCCCGGACCTCCACAGCAATCGCAGGAAACATGTGAGGACACACGCCAACAAGGACGTCAGAACAATCGAGACTTGATGCCAGAACAAGCGTCAGAACATGGTATCAATCCGCACGTCCGCCTTTGTTAGGCTGTCAGGACATGTGTCCTGCCTTCTTCAAAAACGCCTTTCAGGGTGGGGATCACTCACGCCTAAGAATCCTGAGGCCTGCCATGACAGGGGTCAAACCCAACACCGATGCGCAGGGGTGCGGACCCAAACCAAACCCCTTCCATTGGTTTGGGCCGATTCTTAAAGGTCTTAGAGGGTATAATAATGTATAACATGGTATAATCCACAGTCTACATGACCCAAGCAATTCTGCCCCCAAACACGCCCCAAGTTGTGCGGTCCAAGCACCGCGTATCAACAAAAAACGCCGGCCGTTGAGCGGAAACCGACTGCGGCCCGGGCGCCAGATCTGAGAAGTGGAGGAAGACATCGCCCCGTCCGTTCTGAGCCTTGGCCTCTTCACGCGACACGAAGCCGAAGCCTGAAGCAAATGGGGCGAGGCGGCGTGTCGCGTCGCCTGAACGGTACACCACCAGACCTGGTAGTGACCTCTGACTGGTCATGGCACCGCCTGAGAGCTCAGGTCAGGTGGGTCATGGCACCACTAAGAACGAGGGGGCGAACGTTCATTTTTTTTGCAAATCCTGAGCAAGGGCCGGATCCTTTTCACAGCTCGATGAAAAGGACTCTTGGAAGAATATCTCCTACTGCCACCTGCTCAGGTTCGGTGCAGCTGAACCCTCAAAGTCTGCATAAAACTGTCGAACACCTTCTCAAAAAAGGCATCGTCTTCAAAAGGAAGCATGTGCTTCCCCAGTGAGCTCGTCGGCATGGCCAAGGCATGCAAAAAAACAAAAGGATACAAAAGGAACAAAGAGGGTGGCACCCTGTAGCGAGGCACAATATTGAAACCTTACTTTTCTACTAAAAATATCTACCTTTGCAGCAAAAATTGGGGGGCAAAACCAAAATGAGGGAGCAAAGACAACGAGACCATACTAGTAGTGGGTTAAAACCAGGCAGGTGGCGAGAGACTCGCTGTGATCGGAACCACATGACTGCTAATTCCTGGACCAAATCATACTCTTGATTCTTGATGCAGTTCCTCCAAATCCACATCTCAATTCCACCTTTGGACATGACAAATCCTTCCCCTTCAACTCGATTGATGTCCGGCCTTTGCCCACAAAGAGGCGGCGGATGGTCCCAGTAGTCCAGCCTCCTGTCACATGGGTTTTCGTCGCATTGGTTGGTTTTCGTCCCATGGTGAAGGCTGGTCCTTCGACCGTAGCAGCTGGAGTCCGGTTGGCCTCTCCAACCCTCACATCCACTCATCTCATCTCCACCCCTTAGGCCCTTGATGGCCCTTGATGGCCCGGAACTGCTGGCACTTGGAGTTGAAGGGATTCAACCAGGAACCGGGAAAAGCCACCATCACCTGAAAACCCCCAAAGCAAGAACCGGAACACGAAGGCCCAAGGCACGCATGATCGACCACTTCAAGAAAAACAGTGTTTTCAGCGGAGTAGCCAAACTGCTCGCTCCAACTCTTAAACTCTCCAACTTCAAAACAAAACGCCTCAATTGTCTACTCCAACAAGGGGTGTGTGTGAGTACCACCTTAAATCATCACAAGTTCCGGGTGTTGCATCTCTCGAACATTCGGACTGGCACACCTGCCTGAAGCCGTTGTGCTGGCTGTCGAAGTCGCCGCGGAAGGCTCCATGGGGACATGAGCACGTGGGGCTCCTTGACATCTCTGCGGAGATGGGCAAACGGGCGATGGCTTCAGCTTTGCATCGGAGGTCTTTCTTGGTAGCTTCACCCACCAAAGAGTATTCAAATGATTGTGGAGCATGTCAGGGAATCACTTCCAAATCTGCACACATAGAGGTTCCAAGCAGCCTTTGGTCCCTCCAGGTCCTTCAAACTCCTCAAAACCATAGGGACTTGACAAAGGATTCGGGTCCTATCCTTCCAGGGACCAACCAATTTCCATGTTCGAGTCGCCCGCCCTCGCACTCCGAGACAGATCGAGTCGCCGAATTGCAGGCGTTGCTCATCGATCCCGTGAAGGATCCAAGTCGATCCGGCGCCAGACTCAACGAGTCTGCTTCACACCGGTGAGGAGGAGAGGAAGACAACCGTTGACAAAAACCCGGTTCTTCGGCTGTCAAAGCCTCCAACCCAGAAATTCCATGGTGGGCCCCTGAGTGGAAAAACCGGACAACAAAGGCTCCTCCTTTGGATCGGCGTGGTCCTCCCTTGCCCATCCTCAGCGCCGTCGACGCATGCGGTACACGGGTGTGGTCCCTTTTGGGCCATGTCCTACCTGCTGAGTACAGGGAGCAGACAAGTTTCATGTCACAAAGAGACAAAACCAATTGATTGGGCATGTAAATAGGGAGACCCCAACCATTTGGTTTGGGTCTACCTTCCTTCTTCGAGGGTGTTGTTGGGGGTCTCCCCATTCTAACACAAACACACAATTGGAGTCTTGCACCTTGCTCCGTTCCTGCCTTTCTTGATCAGAGGATGCTTCGTTCAGTGCGATGCATTCAGGTAGGACGATCTGGTGAGAACACTCTGTCCTTCTTGGATTGCTGATTTCAGCCATATCAAGTCATTCTTGGAGTGGCCCGAGCCCTGGATCTTCAGGTTTTCTTCAGTGCAAAGAAGGCAAGGAGTGATATAGAACTGCTTCCTACCCTAAGAATCCGCTCCCGAAGAAATGGAAAGGGTTTTGAGATGTTTTCAGAGTCCGTTTCGGATGTCCGTTTCAGGTCCAAGGATCCGAAAGGTAAGGAAATCAGTTTGGAAGTACCAGTCCAGTCGTACCTCTATTAGCTACCTCTTTCCTTCTATCCTGTTCTTTGGTCTACAACTCATTCTTTTGGGGTGAACAGCTGGTTGCAGTGATTGACTTTCTTCAAGCTGTGGGCATCTATTCAGGGTACAGTGGATATAAAAGCATCAGAAGGGACACAAGTGCAGGGACGATATTCTTTGAAGAACAACACAGGGCTTGGGAGAGGAAGATTGCCTAAAAGGAATTGCTTTTGGGGTAGTATGCACTTGACGCCACGTCCAAACACCAGCGAGTCTTTGTGTTGTGTTCCCTGGAACCATCCCGGAACCATCATGGAAATGGAAGATGGACCCTTAATGATCCAATTCCTCCAGATGGACCCAGCATGGTTTTGCCACGTCGTTTTGATGATTTCCATTAGTGTATACCATTTTGTCCCGTTTGACTCGTCCGAGACGTGTCCACAGAACGAAAAGCTCCACTGCCCATTTCACCTGCTTCCGTCCACTGGAAGATCAAAGCTCTGGAGGTTTTCAGGATGTCTCATGAGGGTCCGTATAGAAACTTCGAAGATGCCTTTGGGCACTCTCCCTGGAACATAACATGGAAGCACAAAACCTCGTGTTTGTAGAGGAAAAGTGTCTTCCTTTCGGGGTCATGTCCATGCTTTTTGCGGGGAGTGTATAGAACTAGAGATTCCCCCACCACCGCATCGTAGACGACTGGTTCGTAGTGTGGTTCGCCATTCGTGCACCCGACATGGAACCGTTGGAGAGTCTGAAGCGCCCAAGAGCCTTCACCCATCCCAAACACTCCGTGTATGCCATATATGCCTACATTGACCCCCAAAACCACCCCAATGTAGGCATATATGGCATACATGGAGTGTGAGGGCATTTGATCTCTGGTAGCTGATGCATGCTGATTACCAATCCGGCCAAGCACCAATCCGGGACGCTGGAAGATGTCCGGGCCTTCATGCTCTGCCCATGTTCCGGTCAGTGAGTTCTACAGTTTCAGGGAGCTTGGTGCTCAGGTTCATGGGTTTGACAGCCTGGACAGGAGGGTCCTGGTAGAATCACTGCAATAAGTATGTACTATAGTAATTGACATTATATATATACCTGCACCACCCTTTGGTACAGAAAAATTTGCTCGAGGTATGTTTGGTACAGATTTTTGTCATCGAGCGTTTTTCTCTGTAAGGGTGCTAATCGTGCACATTTTTTGATCGAGCGGATTTCTGCATGATTTAGTCAAAATCATCACTAATCTTCATGGTTGCTGCTCATTGCTTGCGGTTGCTCACATTTGTTGGGTTTTGTCATTGATGCTGTTCGGATGGTGTGCTTTTGCTTCGTTGATCTTCATGGCTATGCCTGTTGTGTCATGCAGCTGTTTTGTGCTACAAGTTCGCAGCTCGAATGGAAAATTTGGCCACACCCGGAGGAGAAATGTTTGCTCTTGTTTGCTGGCATTCATGTAATTTGACTTCTGCTCATGAGTCATGAAGGAGTACGATGGTTGCCCATGACACGAGCAGGTTTCCTAGCTGTTTTTGGCAAGGTGCAGGCATGTGGTTGGAGACATGTTGCAAGTTTTGTGCAGCATTTGGGCTGCAGCAGGGCTTTGCGCCAAACATGGGGTGGTTTGAGCAGGCTGGGACTTTGGCCACTGCGTGGGCCAATGAGGATGTTGTTGCGCCAGCTGGACAAAAGATGTCCTTGTGCTCGTTTCGTTCCTCGAAGTTGACGAGAAGAGCTGTGGCTGCAATAATAGCGGATATAATGTATATATATATGGATATATATATATATATCTACACAAGCATAGCACTTACATTTCGCTTGTCCTTGTTTGGAGCTACATATGAACCAAGGCCAACTGGACTATTGTGTATTTTGTGCATTTGCCTTGTGAGGAGACTTGAAGGACAACAAGCTTGTGGTGGGCCTTGCTATAAGGCATTTGGGTTTGCGACCAAGCTTGGACCAGGTCATGCAAGCAGTTTTCCAGTTCTGGTCGCTCACGCTTCCGAGAGGAAAGGACATCTGCAGCAACTCAGCTCATTAAATGCAAGAATGCTCTGTGTTGATTGTGCGTGTGTGTTGCTGATGGTCGTTCCCAGGCACAAAGCAAAAGGTGCATGCCAAGTGTGTCATGAAACTCATGTACCTGTTTTCTCGCATTGCCAAGACTCTTGGCGGCGTATGTTGTGTTGTGGCTGTGGCACATGTGGTGCAATATCTATATATAGAGATATACATGTGGTATGGCACATGTCACATGTGGCACATGTGGTGGCACAAGTTTGATTGGCTCAGGAGGCCGCACATTCCTCGAGATAGAGCCATCCGAGATTTGTACGAGTATGCTGGTCTGACGGTGCCAGGATTGGAAGTCCGATTGTGTGATCTAGGGCCCATGATGCTCGGCAGTTTGTGCGTGCGCGCATGCCTGAGGAGCATGTGAAGATGATGATGGCTCGAGTTCAGCCAGCGATACTGAGACTGTCTGGCGCTCAAGTGCTGGGTCGCGTTGTGTCGGTCATGTTTCCAAACTGTTCTGCAGGAGCATGAAGCATCAGATGAGGAAGCTGCTGCTGATGAGGGCAATGGTGCAGGCCATCTTGTCGAATGTTCGTGTTCTGCATGCTCTTGTATATACATATTGAGTTTTTTGCAAAGTGCTGGTGCAAAAAGGCATGTACCAACAAGCCTTAGGTGTCTATAGGATTGACCATGACAGCATGATTATCTAGCTTGGGCCTGTTAGCCTGCAATAGCATATGTTGGCTTGCAATATCTTGGTAACTTCATAGAAGAGCATGTAGCGATATACCTTGGCAGCTTGATGGATAACGTATCAATTTTGGATTAGCATGTGAATGCTTGCTTGATGATATTCTGTTGATATGGCAGCTTGATAGATAAGGACAAATAGATGGCATCTTGACGGATCATATAGTTTGCTTGGAAGACCTATAGGATGCGAACACTTGCTTGATATTCAGTTGGTATATGTATATTTAAAAATTCATGGCAGCTTGTCGGATATCATAGTTCGCTTGGAAGTATATATGGCATGAGTGCTTGCTTGATATTCAGTTGATATAATTGGGCCGGATATATGTTGATGGCAGCTTGGCGAATATAATATATTTATAATTCCCTTGGAGTGTCTATATGATGTGACTGCTTGCTTGATACTTGGTTGGTATATGCGCTGTGGCTTGATTCGTTGATACGTTGGAAATAGTAATATTGCTGAGTGGAACTACCTTTGCGTATGCACCATTTTGTTGGATATGAAAGCATAGTGATAAATCCATAGTCTGTGCTGCATGTTCCCATCCTCTTCATTTTGTGCTGCTCAGGCGCTGATGAGCTTCCACAGCATGCCGTGCAAGGACATCCTGTTGATGAGATCAGCATTGGGCTTGGCTCTCGTGTTTCGCATGCGCCATGCAGGTTTGATCTGCTAAGCATGTGAGCTGAGGCAAGGGTGGAAAGTCCATGTCGGAAGAGCCACAGTTCATGGACATCAAGGACCTGGTCAGATGGCACCAGGACAAAGATGACATGAAGGAGATGCAGCAAGAGTTGGAGAAAGAAAAAGCCATGGAGCAGGAGCAAGATGAAATTGGAAAGCTTTTGCAGGCTCAAGAGCAGCTGAATGAGCTGCTGCAGCAGCAAGAACTGCGAAAGCTCCATGAAGAGTTGTTCGAGCTTCGTCGCCAGCAAGAGTTGCAGAAGGAGATGGTGGCGTTGAATGAGCTTCTTCACCAGCAGCGCCAGCAGGAGTTGGACAAGGAAAGGGCGGAGTTGAAGGAGCTACTTCGCCAGCAAGAATTGGAGAAGGAGATGCGGGAATTGAACGAGCTTCTTAGCATGCAAGAGCTGGAGAAAGAGGCTTGTTCAAGCAAGGTTGGGCAGTGTGAGTTGAAGGTTGACATGCATGTTGACGGTCCGCCTCATGAGGGAGATGTTGCGTCTCATACAGAAGAGCCAGAGGCACCTCATGGGGATGTCTCTCATGCAGGAGAGGCGGCTTGTGCTGCTGAAGTGAAGAATGGCAGTGTTGACCATGAAGCCCCACAAACCCGACATGTGAAAGAGAATGAGAAGAGTGGGCGCTGTGTTGAGATTGGGATGGACAAGGATGGCAAAACAGTTGGCAGTGCTTCTGTGGGCTCCGCGCAGGACCCATGGCGCGTGGCAGTAACATGCTCATTGTTGAAGAGTACATTTGTGGGTTGTCAGGATCCGCGTGTCTGCCTTGCATCTGTGGCCACTCCTGCTCGTGCCCAGCTTAATGTGACTCTTGCGCAAAGAGCTAACTGTGTGCACTGTTTGTTCTGAAGGCTCTGCGTCTCTTCGCACACCAGCTGCTTCTTGCTTGCAAGAATATATCATGTTTCATGGACTAACTGACGTCATGTGTTGCCTGGAGTTAAGGTAATTGC